GGGGAGAGCGTAGGCTGTGAGCGAGATTGGCGCCTGGGCGGCAGGCAGGAGCGTTAGAAAGTCTCTTAGATGAAGAACAGGAAACATACTCTCTCTCCCATGCAGTTCCTAGTAATCCACCTCTGAAATGTCGTGGTGCTAACGATGGATGTTTACACACACAGAGCCACCTGCCATGTCAGGGACGGCACCAGTTCTGAAGTCATCTCGGCTTTTATTTTCCGTGTGCGCCACTCGCCTGCCTGCTGTGCCCGCGTACTACCCATGCGGTCCACCCCACTCCTCTGCCTGCTGTGCCCGCGTACTACCCATGCGGTCCACCCCACTCCCCTGCCTGCTGTGCCCGCGTACTACCCATGCGGTCCACCCCACTCCCCTGCCTGCTGTGCCCGCGTACTACCCATGCGGTCCACCCCACTCCCCTGCCTGCTGTGCCCGCGTACTACCCATGCGGTCCACCCCACTCCCCTGCCTGCTGTGCCCGCGTACTACCCATGCAGTCCACCCCACTCGCCTGCCTGCTATGCCCACGTGCCATCCGTGCGGTCCACCCATCCAGTCCCCAGGGCAGCCGGTGGCGTCGATGTAAAATGTCATCCGCTTTCTATCGAAAGAAGAGAAGGGGCCCTGCTGGCTGGGTCGGTGGTTAGGGTGCCGCCAAGGGCATGGACCTCGCTTTCGTGCTCAATCCCGGGCCTGGGAAGGGCGTATGCAGGAGGCAGCTGATCGATGTGTCTTTCACGTCGATGTTTCTCTGTCTCCCCATCCCGCTCTCCCTAAAAACCAACGGAAAGTTGTCCTCGGGCAAAGATTCGCCAAAGAGCGAAGGGAAGGGCCCAGAGGCTTCGGGCCCCCGCCCACCAGCCGGAGCCAGGCTGTGACTCCAGGCACTGACACGCCCTGAGGGGGTGCGGGCCGGGGCGGTCCCTCCGTGGCACCTTGTTTTCCGTCTCCTGCTTGAGGACATGAGGGTCTGAACAAAAATGAAAATGTCAGTGAGACATCGCGCCTGTGACGGAAGGCGGCTGTGTGCTGGGTGATGGCTCCCCAATGGAGCAGCGAATCAGCGAGAGGTTCTAATGGCCTGGGTCCTCCCGTGACCCTGATGGTCCTCCCGTGACCCTCACAGTCATCCAGTGACCCTCACGGTCCTCCCGTGACCCTCACGGTCACCCACTGACCCTGACGGTCCTCCCGTGACCCTCACGGTCATCCACTGACCCTGACGGTCATCCACTGACCCTGACGGTCACCCACTGACCCTGACGGTGCCCTGGCGTGGGGTTTGTCACCTTCCCCAGGCCCCTCCTCCCAGGGTCCTGCTGCCTGGGAGGTTCTGCCGGGAGGTGGGGAGGGCTCACACCTCCCCCGGCGTGTGGTCCTGTCTGACTCTCTGCCTCTCCTGCGGGGCCTTCCATGGCCCACGGGACCTTTGAGAAGCGGCTGTAGTGCTTTCTCTCGACCGAACGATGAAGTCGCGTTTTCTCTGGTGCCCCGTCCCGGGGTGGGTGGAGGCGGTGTTGCTGTTGGTGGTTGTGTTGTTCATCCTGCCCTGATGCTTAGAGAGAGTGGGGGCGGGGAGAGAAGGACACGTGGATGTGAGAGAGACACATCGATTGGCTGCCTCCCCTGCACATCCCGACTGGGGCCGGGGAGGAGCCTGCAGCTGAGGGACCTGCCCTCGATGGGAATCAAACCCAGGACCCTTCATCCGCGGCCCATGCTCTATCCACTGAGCAACACCGGCCAGGGCTGTGTTGCTTTTTAGCCGTGTGCTCACAATTGTGGCAGGAACAGCTAAGGGGACGTGGATCCCTCTGGCGATGAATTTATCGGAGAGAAAACAGCCAGAGGCCCTGAGGGCTCACAGCCGTGGGGCTGGGCCGAGGTGCCCCACGCTGGTGGGCAGGGCCGGGCTCCGGGCTCTCGCTCCTTGACCCTCCTCGGAGCTGCTGCTGGCAGCGTTTCCTGTGTCGCTGACGAGCGAGCCTGCATCTGCTCTTAGAGCAGCAGCCCTGCGGCTGGTGCGGGTGGTTATTTATAGGAGCAGGAAAGGGCGGTGCGGGGAGAGCCGTTCCCTGGCATCTGTTCATTCCTTTCACCGGAGGCCTCCCTCCCGTCCTGTGGGCTCTCTTCACTCCTCCAGGCACCAGGCCCTCGGGTGCCTTCATTCTTAGACCCGCACAGTGAGGGCCTTTATTCTGGCGGAAGGTGTCTCTGTCATTACTCCCCAGTGGGATGCATCCGTATCAGGCAGTTTGACGACTGCTCGCTGGGAGGAGGAGCTGATCGTAACATCGCCAATACGTTAAGTGCACTTGTCGATTGCTAGACTTCACCCCTGTCTGTGCTGCTGTCAGAGGCGGATCCCTGAGCTCACTGTGCCCAAGGGGCTGAGCCTGCCTGCCTGCCCTGCCCTGGCCCTGGCGTGGGGTTAAGTGCATAACCTGTTGTCAGAGTCCTTGCAGCCGCGCCTCTCAGTGGATGATTCTGCAGCTGCAGCACTAATGCTGAGTCACCCGTGAGTAAGTGGGCTGTCACGTGTCCTTCTGCGTGTTACAGGTGACAAGGAGGGCTCCCGTCACTGAGCGACTTCACACAAATAAGCCAGCGATCCTTACGTTCTGTCTTTACATTCAGATCATTCCATCTTCCCTCCACACACACGAGACTTGATGCAGTTGTGTTTGCAAATCGAATGTGGACGTGTGAGCACTGTTTTCATGAGTAGCTGGTGTGCAGTTAATGGTAGTGACCTGGCATTTCCCCGCGGGGAGTCGCTGCTGGGATCCTGGGCTGTGGTTCTTTCCCTGCTACTTCACAGCATTGCACGTGACGGCAGGTGCTGCAAGTAAATAGCTCAGCGGATTTTCCTCGAGTTGTTTCCTTGGTCAGAGCTTCCGTGGTGTCATTAGTAAAATCAAAGAGTACAGATCCCTGCCTCCATCTGCCGTAAAGACGGCATCTACAAAAACTGTGTAGCAAACGATACCTAATGCTTCAACGTTAGGGCCTCCTCTAAAGTGAAAGGGGGGGATAAGCGAGCATGCATCCGGCCAGCGTGGCTCCGTGGTTGAGCATCACCGTATGAACAAGGGCCTGTGGCCTTGGCTGGAATCGAACCCAGGACCCTTCAGTCCGCAGGCTGATGCTCTGTCCACTGAGGCAAACCAGCCAGGGCTCCCCAAGATCAGTTTTGTTTTAAATTATTTGGGTGAAAAGTAAGGGGAGCTCTGTTTCCACTGTTTCAATGACTGCTCACGCTGATTCCTCAGTGAGCGATCGGAATGGAACTAGAACTGAATCTGGAGCTGTGCCTGCTCCTGGGATGATGTCACTACTATCTGATAATGGTCTTAGCACTTTCTATTTCTGCTTGAGTGCCTCTCGCAGCGAAAGCTTCTCCGTTTTTAAAGAAATATACCGTATTACTTTTCTAAAGCTGAGTAACAAATCCCCACAACTCTGGTGGCGTACAAGCAACAGGAGTTCATTTCCTCATGGTTCTGGGGCCAGGCACCCAGCCAGCTGCCCGGGGTGACGTCGGGTGTTTGGGGCTCTGGGGAGAGTCTTCCTTGCCTCTTGCAGGCACTGGTGGCCCCGCATTCCTGGGCTTGTGGCCCCATCACTCCAATCTGCCTCTGGAGTCACCGCCTCGTCTGTGTGTGTCGACTCTCTCTGCCTCCCTTTTGTTTTTATTGCTTTTAAATATATTTTTATTGACTTTAGAGAGGAAGGGAGAGGGAGAGAGAGAAACATCCATGAGAGAGAGAGAATCACGGATCAGCTGCCTCCTGCACACCCCACATGGAATCGAGCCCGCAACCGGGTACGTGCCCTGACCGGGAATCAGACTGTGACCTCCTGGTCCATAGGTCGACCGCTGAGCCACACTGGCCGGGCTTCCCAGGAGCCTTTGAGCCACTCTCTTCCATGGGCTCAGGGTTTTTAACGATTGTTGAGGAGTCTGCTTGGAAGGAGGCAGTTGTGGTGCGATGACAGGGGCAGCGGTGACTGGCTTTCCTCTCCCCGCAGTGTCAGATCAACAGTGCCTTGGCCTCCTTCCACACGGCCCTGGAGCTCGCCGTGGACCAGAGGGAGATCCAGCACGTCTGCCTGTACGAGATCGGTGAGTGCGAGGGCCTGAGGGCGAGGGCCGGGCCTTCCGTCGGGAAACGGGGCATTCACGACTCAGCCGCACCAGCTCCTGTCCCCAGAGTGACCTCGCTCTCCTGGGCGCCTCCTTCTAGGGCCGCTCCGCCTCTGTCCTCATCGAGTGCTGCCACCTCTGTCGTCAGGACACAGCTAGCGTAGCACAAGCAATGCCGCTTGTCTTGGTGATTCTCATGGTTTCTTTTTAAAAAAATATGTTTTATTGCCTTGGAGAGAGAGAGAGAGAGAGAAATATCGATGAGAGAGACATCATGGATCACTGCCTCCTGCACACCCCCTGCTGGGGATGGAACCTGCGACCTCCCGGTTCATAGGTGGATGCTCAGCTGCCACCCCCCCACTCTCCCCAGCTGGGCTCATTATGTCTTTATACTTGATTCTTCATGAAATTTTGAATTTAGGATAATGGGTAGTCAGCGTTAGTCAGTGTTAGCTGAATGGACTGGAACCATTTGTAAATACATTATTCACTTGCACATGAGAATTCGACACAGTTTCCTGCTCCTGCCACCGAGTCCCTCCGTGACCTCGTGGCATGGCTGTCCCTGTGCCGTCCCACCCTGGACAGGACTCTGTGCTCGGGGTCATCTTACCCCGTCGGCGACACGTGGGAGTGTTTTATAGAAATCTTTGCCTCACAGTCCCTCTTTACTGCGTCACTGGCTGTGAAGTCTTAATCAAAATGGCACACTGAAAATATTTAAGAGAAAAAAATTTTATTTTTACTTATTTATCTTTTTAATCCTTCTGTTGATTTTTAGAGAGAGTGGGAGAGAGAGAAAGACAGAGAGAAACATCGATGTGAGAGAAACACATCGATTGGTTGTCTCCTGCACGCACCCTGCCGAACACATGCCCTTGACCGGAATCGAACCCGGGACCCTTTGGCCTACAGGCTAACGCTCTGTCCACTGAGCCAAACCAGCTAGGGCGAGAACAAAATAATTTTGAAAGCGTTTTCAGGTGGTGTGCACACAGCACTCACAGAGGAGATGACAGGGTGGAGGTGTGTCGCCGGGCCGGGCTGTGGGCGCACACGGAGCTGGCGGCTGCACTGAGCCTGCGCCCTCCCAGGCTGGTGCAGCCGATCGAGCTGCCCTGACCCTGTTCTCTCCCAGGCTGGTGCAGCTGATCGAGCTGAGCTAGGCCTGTGCCCTCCCAGGCTGGTGCAGCTGATCGAGCTGCCCTGACCCTGTTCTCTCCCAGGCTGGTGCAGCATGATCGAGCTGAACTTCCAGGATGCGTTTGGCTCCTTCGAGAGGCTAAAGAATGAGTCCCGGTGGTCGCAGTGCTACTACGCCTACCTGACCGCCGGTGAGTGCGACTCTGCAGAACACGCGCTGTTTCAGCACTGCCTGTCCCTGTGGCAGCAACGTCTCTCATTTCGGACGCGCACGGTCACACGTCCGCAGAGGGAGCATCCCGGCAGGAGGAGGCGGGGCTCTGTGCTTCCTCGGTTTCCCCAGCGTGTCCGTGTTTTGTGCTGTCGCATGGCCCGCAGCATAATGCTGGGCTCACTGACCATTTCAGCAACAAACACCTCTCCCCCACCCCCACACCCCACCTCCCTCTCTGGGCTGGTCACGTCCGTGGCTCAGAATGCTGTTGCCCTGAGCAGCCTCACCCTACCTCTACTCTCTGCTGCATTTTCTAAAATACATTTATTTCTTGGGGATTGAGAGAATTTTTAAGAATCCAGCACGTCTTTCTCTTTGCGTTTCTGTCCTTCCAGTGGCTCAGGCTCTGAGTAGCCGCCCCACCGTGTGTTTCCTGCCGGCCCTGTTGTATGTACAGTCACTGTGCAGAGCACACGCTGTTCCCACACTGCTTGTGCCCCTGCAGACACACCTGCCATATCTGAGAAGGACTGAGCTCTCCTGACTTCCTGCTGTGGCCTGAGGGGGCGGGGAGGAGGAGGGAGAGAGAGAGAGAGAGAGAGAGAGAGATGCTGCCCCCTGGTGGAACCCCGGGAAACGGCTGTTAAATCCCGGACTGGTGGCCGGCGGGAGGCACAGTCCTTTCTGTCACCGTCCCTTAACCCGTCTGCGCCCGTTTGTTGATTTGACCACATTTCCAAGTGCCACCAGCCCAGGTCACCCTGAGATCACTTCCCTCCGACACGTGAGAATAAACGGCGTTTCTCAGTTTGCCAGGGGGCCGCCGGCGACGTGGACGGCGCGCAGGCCATCTTCAAGGAGGTGCAGAAGCTCTTCAAGAGGAAGAACAACCAGATCGAGCAGTTCTCCGTGAAGAAGGTGGTGGGGCCTGCGGGCGGGTGTTGCTGGGGATGGGCTTTTGCAGCCGACACCACCTCTCGGGTCCTAGGGCATCCGATTGACAGCTGGCAGCCTCCGTGCCCGGCAAGCGCGGCTCGCCCCTGGCACGGTCGGACTTCTGCTCTGAGTGCGGTGCGTGGTGTGTGGCGGGTCACGGAGCAGTCGTGGGGGTTTGAGGGAGTGGAGATCTCGCAGACCCTCGAGAGCCGACACGCACACCTCGGGGGAAGCATCGTCCCGAGGGTCAGGTCACTCAGGCAAGGAGGCGGGCCCTCGGCCAGGATAGCGAACACATTACATTCTTTTAAAAATATTTTTATTTGATTTCAGAGAGGAAGGGAAAGGGGGAGAGAGACGGAAACATCAAAGGTGAGAGAGAATCATTGTTGGCTGCCTCCTGCACACCCTACATTGGGGATGGAGCCCACAACCCCGGGCACGTGCCCTGACCGGGAATGGAACCCTGACCTCCTGGTTCATAGGTCGATGCTCACCGCTGAGCCACGCCAGCCGGGCCAGATCACATTTTGATCTGATTAAGAAAATTACACACATCCCGTGTACGACAGACAGGCCTGGGACCGCGGGGACAGCGTCCCTAATGTGCCCTGTACCTTAAAGAGTAAGATTTGGCTGAGTTGCCGTGCGTCACTTGACTCCTGGCCACATCCTGAGTGTCCCATGGTTTTCATTTCACGAATGTTTATCGACTGAGCGCCCAGTGACTTAGTTTGAGGATGAACCAGACTAGTGTGTGAGGCCCGAGAGCACTGAGCTAGGCAGGAAATGAGAAATTCCACAAACCACCACTAGCCGGCTCCCCGGCTCCCCTCCCCTGACCACCCCCCTCCCCTGACCCCCGAGCGACCTCCTCCAGGTCTAGAAGCCCCACTCACGTGAACGGAAGGAAGCGCATCCGGTTTCATCCCCAGGTTCCCGGATCCCTCCTGAGCCACGATGGCAGAGTGAGGCGAAGAATGAGAGGGATGTGTCATTAGACTAGGGACTGGAGACCAAGCGTTTCTTGCGGAAGGTGTTGGCCTCGTAGCTCTGTAGGAGGGGCTGACTCACGCCCCCCCTGAACGGAGTCCTGTGATGTCTCCGAGCATGAACGTCCTGTTTGAATCTGTTGTAAAGAAACGCGTGGCCTGACCGTGCGGACCCATTGCAGGCGGAGCGGTTCCGGAAGCAGGCGCCCACCCGCGCGCTGTGCGTGCTGGCCTCCGTGGAAGTGCTGTACCTCTGGAAGGCCCTCCCCAACTGCTCCTTCCCCAGCCTGCAGAGGATGAGCCAAGGTAAAACCCAAACACAAACCAAACCCAGCCTGGCCGGCGGGGCTTAGGCCGAGGCTCAGCCTACGGACCAGGAGGTCACGGTTCGATTCCAGGTTGGGGCATGTGCCGGGGTTGCGGGCTCCATCCCCAGTGTACGGTGTGCAGGAGGCGGCCGATCCGTGATTCTCTCTTGTCGTTGATCTTTCTCTCTCTCTCCTTCTCCCTCTCTGTCTCTCTAAAAAATCCATAAAAACATTGAAAAACCCCGTGCCGGTTTGGCTCAGTGGATAGAGTGTCAGCCCGGGGACTGAAGGGGCCCAGGTTTGATTCAGTAACAGGCTCGACCCCTGGCCCTGGTCCGGGCGCATGCAGGAGGCAGCCAGTCGATGTGTCTCTCTCACATCGATGTTCCTCTCTCTGTCTCTCCCTCCATCCCACTCTCTAAAAATCAGTAGGAATGTATCCTCGGGTGAGAATCCGCAACAACAAAAGGTCGGTTTCTTAAGGGCAGAAGGTTTCTGTGTGGTTTCTGCTGTATCTCAAGGACCTGGGCCTTCCCAGCACATAAGCGCTCAGGAAAGACCGAACGCAGGCGTGAGTGTGAGCGGCACTCCATTCCCCAAATGGCTGCTGCCTTGGGGTTAGTCCGTATTTTTTTATTTTTTAAAGGGATTTCCCCTATTTTTTAAAAAAAATGTTTTGATTGATTTCAGAGAGGAAAGGAAAGGGAGACAGAAACATCAGTGATGAGAGAGAATCATGGATCGTCTGCCTCCTCCACGCCCCCCACCAGGGATCGAGCCCACAACCCGGGCCTGTGCCCTGACGGGAATCGAACCTGACCTCCTGGTTCACAGGGGGACGCTCACCCTGAGCCCTGCCGGCCGGGCTCGCCGGGTGCTCGTCATGGGGAGCTACTCCCAGCCCAGCGTTTGGAGGCAGCGGCTGTTCTATCGGCTCAGGTTCCATTCTTCATGTTCGATTCCCGCTGCTCCACCCAACGTCCTGGTGCATGTATGGGTGTGTGTCCGTGTGTGCGGATGTGTATGCATGTATGTGTATGTACACATGTATAAAAGCTTCCTAAATCTGTGTCTTCATTGGTCCATAGAAATAATTCCTTCTTTTCCTCCTTTATTCGCTCTGCTGTGTTCCAATCCCTCCTTTCTCCTGTCCTGGGAAAAGTTCCCTCGCGCCCTCTGCCCGTACCCCCTCCTCCCCAGTGGACAGCGAGGTTCTCGACGGGGAGGGGAGGGTCCAGCACCTCCGTGACGAGGGCGGTGCCCATACGGGCACGGCCAGTGCCCGCGGCAGGGCTATGAAGTCAATATGGTGCAATTAAATGTGTAAATAGGCTTTGTTTTTTAGGGCCGTTTAGGTTCGCAGAGACCCACATAGCTCCCCTCTCACTTCCCTATACGAGCTGCCCCCAGCCACCGGCCTCCCCCCCTGACCCAAGGGAGCCTTTGGTGCAGCTGATGCACCCACACCGACACGTCACTGTCACCCAACGTCCCGTTTACGTGAGATCCACACGTGGTGCCACGCATAGTGTGGGGTTAGACACGCGTGTAATGGTGTGTGTCCACTCTCACGGGTGGAATCGTGTAGACAGTCACGGCCCTCAGACCCCCAAACCCCCTGCCCTCCCCCCGGACCTGTGGACCCACCGGGCTCGTCCCTGCCTCCATGACGCTGCCTTTCCAGGCCACGTGGTCGGGGTCCCAGAGTGTGAGGCCTTTCGGTCGTCTCCTTCCACGTAGTTTCCGAGCTACTGCGTTGTCTCCCTGGCCCTGCGGCTTGTGCCTCTGCGTCTCTTTGAGGATCTTCACTAAACGGTGGAGGAAGGGACCCTTCTGGGGGATTTGTTGGGTTTTTTTGGTTTTTTGGTTTTTTTGTTCCTCCTGGAGGATGTGTTTCCATTGATTTTGGAGAGAGAGGAAGAGAGAAGGAGAGACAGAAACATCAATGTGAGAGAAACACATGGATGGGTTGCCATCTGCATGTGCCCCAACCAGGGCCCGGGCTGGGGAGGAGCCTGCAACCGAGGTCCGTGCCCTTGACTGGAATCGAACCCGGGACCCTTCAGCCAGCAGCCCGTCGCTCTATCACTGAGCCACACCGTCTAGGGCAGCAGTCGCCAGCCTTTCGGACCTCACGGGCCTCCAGGGGTCCAGGGCCCTTCTGGTTCTCAGGGGCAGAATCATGAACCAAGTGGTGTAAACAGTGGAAGACTCGCTCTGGGTGACCTGTGGGGAACTAAGGCCATGTCCCTCCGCCCTCTGCCTCTCTCCAGCCTGCCATGAGGTGGACGACGCCGCGGCCGTGGGGCTGAAGCACCTGCTGCTGGGGGCCATCCACAAGTGCCTGGGGAACACGGAGGACGCCGCCCAGGTACGCGGCAGCGCTGCGGAGGGCGGGGCCGGAACCTGCTACGTGCGGGTTGGGGGGGCAGTAAGAAGAGGCACGCACACCCGCACACCCAGCCTCCCCGCACGTGGGCTTCACCCCTACGCTGCCCAGGTGCTGGTTGGTGCCAGGTTTAGTGCAGCCCCGGGTTCCTGCAACACCCTTCACACCCGCTTCCTTCACCCCCGGCCTCCTTCCTACCAACGCCCTTCAC